CAAACGAACAGAAAATAACAAGGAAAAAAAATGTCCGTGCCCTTAGGTTTTTTTATGTACAGACGTTGTTAAAATTTTTGTCAATCCCCAGTAATTCGTAATCGTGTAAAGAGCGACGAAAAAAAGCGCCAGAAAAACTAAAAAATAGTTGGAGAATGAGAAACAAATGATTTAAGAGAAATACACAATTTACTGAGTTTTGCTGATAATGCGTAACCGCATGACAAACAATTATTATTATATTTCATTGAAATAATAAAAAATCCAATTGTTTCTAAAATTCGTGTAACAAAACACAAGCTAAAAAAAAAATACCCAAGTGACTATTATTTTATAAAATTCAAAGTAAATCTCTTTCAGAGCAACTGAAATGAAAGAGATGTTGTGCAGGTGCGGTGCAAGCAGTTGTGGTGCTGCTCTTAAAATGGTTTGGTTGGGCACCCCCTCTAAATTGGGAAGTCTTTTGGTGTGCTTTATCAGCTAGCGGTACAGTGGAACTACAATATTGGGGCAAACCACCTCAAAATTAGTCAGAGACTGCCTCACACAAACCTCTTTTAGCGGATCAAACCTTCACTGTACACTGCATGGCTTGAGCGCAACTTGGGGCATTTGGGCAATACGAACACAAATACAAAATACCACAGCGGATTGGGGTTGGGGAATAGCAACACTGACGTTCTCTCAAGCGTGCCTGTCTTACCGTAACGGCACAGTCATAGCCATAGTTATCGTGTTCGTCTTCAGTTGAGCAGACGCATCGCACTGAGCGGTGGTGGATACTTCCGACTACTAGTAGAATGAAGTTGAAGAGTTCCGACCAGATTTAGAGAAGTCCTTATCGAATAAGTGAAACATCAAAAGAAAGAAAGAAAGATTAGACTCTTATAAATCGGTAGGGATTAGTGCACTCTACGGGTATGTATTTCCACAGAGAAGTACGTTCATATAAGAAATCTGAAACGATCGCCACTCTGTAGGTGCTCGTTGATGCATAGCCAAGTGCTGTGCAATTCTGTTGTAGACTTGGTATCGTTCCGGCCCCCAGGTTCGGCGTCTTGCCAAGAGTTAAAGAAAACGAAAACATAGACAGCAACAGCAGAAGCAGAAGAAGCATCATAAGAGACTGAAACAATGCTCAAAGCCACAAGGAAACCGTCGGCGGATCCATACAAGTCGAAACTAAAAGTTAATGCCAGCAATAACAACAGCGTCAAACCGCCGCTGCCCATAGAGCTGTCGGAGGAGGCAAATGGAAGCGGCAGCAGCCCCACCACTCCACAGAAGCTTAGCCTGAAGGGCAGCCAGCTGGGTGGAAGTATTTTGATTGGCAATTACAACGTGAGTCTCCATCCACTTCTTTCCGTGCTACTACTTGACTACGACTTCCTACTCATCGTTTTCCGTTTTCCCTTCTCTGGCAGTACTTGACCCAGCTGGAGGTATGCGAAAATGAAATGGAGGTCTTGGACCTCAGCTCGCTGGCACAACTGGAGACGCTCAAGTGCAGCCGAAACAAGCTAATGGAGCTGATTGTAAACGCCACCAATCTGCAAGCACTTTTAGCAGACCACAACTGTAAGCTCAGCTCCACTTTCAAATTAAAGTTTAATACTTTAATGTTTATTTAATTATTTGCAGGCCTTCACAACATCTCCACAAGCAACACACATCCAGTGCCGCTGAAGCTTCATCGCATTGACATCTCGCACAATAACTTCATCGAGCTCCCCAATTGGATTGGCGCCTGCTCGTCGTTGTCCACACTGGATGCATCGCACAATCGATTGGCCAACATAACGGGACTGCTTCGCAACTATCGAATTAATCAATTGCTTGCTCTGAACTTGTCCTACAATGAATTGCAGCAGCTTGAGTACTTGCCCGAGGGATTTGGCAGCCTCCAACAGCTCCATTTGCAGAGCAACGAACTGCAAGGTCTGCCGGACAACTTCTTTGCCGTCACCCATTCTCGTTTGGAGACATTTAACGCCACCTGCAATAAGCTGTCGACTCTGCCCCGGTACGAGCAGAATAATCATGCGGCCCTGGTGCACTTGTTTCTTGCTGGGAATCAGCTCAACGACAGCATATTTGAGGCACTGCACAACGCAGCAAGGCTGAAGGTGCTTCATATCGCCTACAATCGTATTGGAATCCTGCCACCGGCATGCGTACGCAATTGGTCGGAGCTGGAGATTTTGGTTCTGTCGGGAAATATGCTGCATCAGCTGCCCGAGGAGGTGGCCACACTGGATCATTTAAAGGTGCTGCGTTGCTGCAACAATCTCTTGCTTTGCACCCCGCAGCTGGCCAAGTTGGGCAAGCTGAAAGTGCTCGATCTGTCTCACAATCATCTGGATCGCGTCAATCTGCTGTCACTCGTGCCCTCGCGGAATCTTAAGTACTTGGATCTATCGGGGAATTTGCAGCTGCAGGTGTTATTAAAAGGGTCAAAAATAGTAGTATCTTTCCAATAATAATCTTATACTTTCGTATTTACAGGTGGATGAGCAACAATTTAAGGTTTGTCAGACGCAAAGTCAGCGCAACTGGAGCCTAATCGATGTGTCTGGCCATAACCGAGCTGCCCTGCCCACAAGTACGTTGAGGCTGGCGCCGGCGCAGGGAAATCGAAACAAAAACTCGCCCTGGATAATGGGTTTTGCAGAGACGCCCGGACTCGGAGACTGTCGCAAGCTGCTGGTCTGCCAGTTGCGAGCTGCCAACTATGGGGGCGCAGATGAGGACCTCTATGGTATGTTTGAAGCGGCAGATGGCAATGGACGGGTGGCACAGGAGATGGCTCAGCTGGTGCCGGATCTAATGAAGCAGGAGCAGCTCGTCAGGGATGCTCCTCTCAGAGATTACATGAAGTTCACGTTGCTGTCGGCTCAGCAGCAGTGCGGAAGTGTGCGGAGTGCCGCCTTGTTTCATCTCACCCGGACACGGGCACCCTCAATGGTGAGGCCTTTAAAGAGCAAACGCTATGTGCTGCGTATGGCTAGCGTGGGGCGGCTGGATGCCTATCTGGTGCGTCGCACCTCGCAGCTACGCCTGACAGACATAGAATCAAGCGCCAAAGATCTGGGACCATCTCTTGCAATGCCTGATCCACAGGTTCTAGAGGTAAGTATTTTTTAAAGGAAGGCAAGGCAGTTTAAAGGAAGGCAACTAAATTGTAGAATTTATTTTCCCAGTTAACACTGAGCAATGACGATGAGTACCTTGTTGTGGGGAATGCCCAGCTCTGGTCGGTCATGGACGTTGGTCGCGCCGCTCGAGAGATTCGCAAAGAGGAAAACGCTTTGCTGGCTGCCAAGCGGCTTGTAGACATTGCCCAGAGTTTCGGCGCATCGGAGAACCTTAGCGTAATTGTGGTGCGCTTCCGTCATCTTGGAACGGACGTGGATCACCTCATTCGGGAGCTCAAGCAGAGTGTTTGTAAAAAGCCGCCCTTGTTGCAGCCACCCACTGTCTCTGTGTGCAAGCGCACCTGCTGCGATCGCAGCAATGCCTGTCGTCACCGGGCGATCGACCACGATCCGCTGGCCGGACGCTCCTCGCCGAGCGGTCAGAGTGATCGGGATCTTCTGCCCAAGGACGCCCCAAGTGTTGTGCCCAACGATGAGTTTATACTGGCTCATGCACGTGTGATGCAGGAGGAGCAGCAGCTGGAAATGCTGGACGAAACGGAGTCTGTGTTGTCGGAGGAACAGTTCAAGTGCTGGGAGTACATGCTCGAGCAAAACACGCAGCTGCTGTTTGACAAGGAGCTCAACACCATATCCAAGTCATTCACCAAGCAGCGAGCCATCCCGAGCACGAATCAAGCTCTGCCGGAACGTAACGATTTCACCACTAATCTAGTGAAGAGCGTGGCCAATAAGTTCATCTCCTCGAGCACACCTCAGCTGCCGCAACCAATGGCATCCACACCCACGCCGATTGGCTCCTACCATCACGTTAAGCGACAAATGGGGGGCCACTTTGGCAGCACGGTCTCGTTCCAGCAGGCCCAGAGCTGTGGCTATAATCTATTTGATGGAAAACCTCGAAAGATGGTTGGAGTCCCCGTGAAGCGTGGACCCCACTCTGCTTACTTTGGGTCCCTGCAGCGCTTGATGCCTTACAATTTTGAATATGATTTTGCCGTCACTCACGAGCGGGAGCGTAACATATTGGACGAGGAGGAGATCGATGATGACGAGTTTAATGAGCACGAGAGTCGTATGCGCAAATATTGGGGCGTGGCCACAACAGAACTTTAGGAGTACTTGCAAAAATAAGTAAAATCAAAACATTCCAAATAATCATAGCCGTTATAGCTGTACATACGCATTGGAACTATCGATATCCGAGTATCCGCTAAACTATCGATACACCTTACCGACTCTCACGTGGCTCTGCTCTTTCACGCTTCTCTATATTTAATGTTTACAAGTATCTTTTATTAATTAAACATGTATTTGCCACAACAAAGGCCGCATCATGACATTGCCGCTTTATTCGCAGCTGCCCAGCCCGACTTTCTGCGGGTAAGTGCGCCCATGGTACGATACAGTAAGCTAGAGTTTCGAAGATTGGTGCGGAAGAATGGAGTACAATTGGCATTCACACCTATGATGATCTCCGAATCGATTAACAACAGCGAAAAGGCTCGCCAGAATGAGTTTACCACGGACCCGGACGATCAGCCACTGATTGCACAGTTTGCGGCTAAGGATTCGACAGAGTTTGTCACTTCAGCTCAGCTCATCTATCCCTATGTCGATGGCATCGATTTGAACTGCGGCTGCCCCCAGAGCTGGGCGATGTCCAAGGGCTATGGATGCGGACTGCTGCGTCAGCCGGAAAGGGTGCGAGAGGTGGTTCAACAGGTGCGACGGACCCTGCCCTCGGACTTTAGTGTCTCTGTGAAGATGCGTCTACTTGCGGGCAGTGAAGCGGATTCAGTGGAGAGGACCATCGATCTGGCCCGCCAACTGGAATACGCCGGAGTCACTTTCTTAACTCTACACGGTCGGACACCTGCGCAGAAGCATTCCAAGGACACGCTCAACATCTCCGCCATGGAAGAAGTGCGCAAATCTCTTCAAATTCCCCTGATAGTGAACGGAAACGTGGAATCCTGGTCAGATGCCTGCGAACTACACGCTCAGACTGGTGCGGCGGGCGTAATGGCTGCCCGTGGCCTCCTCGCCAATCCGGCGCTGTTCAACAGCGATTACCCGACAGCCACTACTACCCCTTTGGCTTGTGTGGAGCAGTGGCTGGACATTGCCGCTGCTGCCAGGGATAATTTGCTCTTCCAGTGCTTTCATCATCATCTGACGTTCATGTGGAGCAGCGAAATGAAGCGATCCCTGAGAGTCCAGTTCAACAGTCTAAGCACAAAAAAACAGGTTGTGGAATTTCTCGGAGAACACTACAATGTGCGAAGCAGTGGACCCGCGCCAGAACCGGCCACTTACACAGACTGCACGTATACGCACTTTACACCACCCAGGCATGCGAGGCATATTGCTGCCGAGGCAGAGGAATTAGCCTGGAGCTCTAGAAGCGATGGAAAATTCTTTACAGAGTTTAAAGCGCATCAAATTTCCAATCCGGCAGGAGTTGACCTGGAGCTAGGTGGTCTTTTTGGTGCAGAGGAATGATCAATCACAATATATTCATGCAATTAAAAGCTGGCAAAGCGAAATCGTTTGTTTTAAAGCTGCGATGATGAATATTTATTATCGATGGCCGGGACAAGAGTGTAGTAGAGCTTATCGATTTTTAAAAGACATGGTATGCTATCGATATAGATTTTCCATCTCAATCGCAATAACAGTTTTTTTTTTACCTATTTAGTTTGATCGTTTTTTTGTGAGCTATGCAATAAAATGAAGTCCTGAAAACTTTCCAATCTTGTGGACATTCGATTCGTCAATCGGATAAAATTTGATTTTGAGGTCTGAGAGTCCAGTCCACCAAATAATATTAAAGCGAAAGTCGAAATTGACGAATATGATTTCCGATCATAGACACACATCGGTATATTTTGAAAATGAGAAGTAATGTTCTGGTATATTCTTGAGAGTCAGCATTATATTTAATTGATAAATCCGCGGTCACACTGGCAATAGCACACAATCCACGCGAAAAAATTAGCTCAAGTTTTATTTTCACGAACAAGATGGGGCGCAGCAAATTCGCTCCGGCCAAGAAGGTATGCAACGCATAGGGTTTGAGCAGGTGGTTGGAGAGCACTGTGCACATCAATTGTATTCCAGGTGATGCAGCACGACGAGTTTATGAATCGGATACGGAAAACGCTATACTATGGCGTTGGCACAGCAGACGGTGAAATGGAGGTGTCCATGCCCTTTGCGGAATATGCATCGGAGATATTTTCAGAGCCCCATCGAGGTCACTCACTGCATCGCCTAAGCTGCGTGACTGCTGGCAAAATCCAGACCACACCATGCTCTCTCATCATGGCGCTCATCTACTTGGACCGCTTGAATGTAATTGATCCAGGCTATGGCTACAGAATCACACCCCAGGAGCTGTTCGTTGTTTCTTTGGTGAGTACTCGTTCGGTTGTCACAGAATCATCTTCATTATGTGCCTGCAAACCTGTTGATTGATAGCCTGCACACCCTACAGGAGTGAACAAAAATGCCACCTGATTGTGGAGCACGCGCACACACATTCTCATCTATGGTGTGGTGTTCTATGAGTTATCTCTTTGTGTTGCTACTGCACCACATACATATAAGTACATTTAGAAGATTATTTATTTAAATGGGGACAGGTTTCAGTATGTGCGTTTCACTTATATATTTATATATATAGCTGGCAATTCACGCTGGCATGCCTCTGCACTGGCGTCATTTGTTATGGGGGCTTTCTCATTGCGCGTTCTCTTTGTTTACAGATGATTTCTACCAAGTTCTATGCCGGCCACGATGAGAGGTTTTATCTGGAAGACTGGGCCAAAGAGGGCAACATGACCGAAGCAAGGCTCAAGGAAATGGAACTCGAGTTTCTGTCGGCAATAGTAAGAATAATCTCATGGGAATGTAATTACAATTGAATCTCATATTTGATTTGTAGGACTGGAATATATACATATCGAATGAACAATTCTTTGCGAAGCTAAGTACCGTTGAGCGAACCCTGGCCGAACGAGAGGGACTGCGACGGGGCTGGCTGACTTACAGTGAACTGATACAACTGCTGCCCAGCTTTACGTGGATGAAATTTCTGTTGAACAGCATAACCGTAATGGCACTGAGCTATGCAGCGAGTGTGATAACCCTGGCGGGTGCCTTCTTCATCGCCAGCCAAGTTCCGGGCACCCTTTGGCATCGTCGAACGGGTACGAACGATGTGGCATCCACGGCTAATTCCACGACACTCGCGACACCTGCATCTGCACCCAAAGCCACCCAAGCTGCTCCTGTTATTTCCAATGAAATGAACCCGTCGCCGGCAAACGAGAGCTGTGGGGCGCTGAATGTGGAAGCGGAACTGCTGAAGCTGGAGCAACAATATTGCGACGAGGCAAGACTGAATGAGATGGAAAGCATCACGCGGCGATACGCTCGATCTGTACCTAATCTACCACTAAAGACGAATAACCGAAAGCCCGATATGTTTGCTGCGTGGGACAATGCAGACCACTGGCTAAGCATCAAATCCGAGTATAGCGACAGACGTGTAAGTCCAAACTATTGGATATCTGGTCACCGCAACCGGCTCGACGACGACTTGGACCACTGGCACCAGGCACAAAACGCATCCGTGTTCTGGCAACTGGTCAACGATGCAGTGCAGAGTTCGTTCCTTGTCCGCTGGCCCGAAATATGGCCAAAATTAATCTAAACAAAATTATATTTTATTACAATATCACTTATTAAATTGTTCTTCAATTGGGCCCGGTCCCTCCTTTGTCTGTAACGATAACAACAATCTTTAACCGTGCAAATAAACATCTATATTTTTTTAACTAATTTCAAAGCAATCCTGTTGTCTTCGAAGCTAAGTATGTATAAGTTGGTTTATTATTTCAATAAGCTCTCTACAATTTGGAATTTCAAACATTGCATTATGTATATATATTTTTATACTTGTTTACTCAACTCTCAAGCCTGTTGGCGTTGGGAATATGGAACCGATCGAGGCTAGTCGATCAAAGATATGTATGGCGGCACAGAAAGCTATGGCACGGCCAGATGTGCATTATCCTCATTGTCCTTGGTGCGGTGGGGAACATCCTGCCTAACACTAAAATGTATGGCACGGCCAGATCGGAAGAGTAATGGAGGAGAAAAGGAAATAAGTATGAAAATATCCTTGATCCTTGAAACACACACACAAAAAAAAAAGTTGTACAACAAGAAATTTTAACATTTTTTGTGCAATGTAGTTACCGTGTAAAGTGTGTGTTTGCTGTGTAGTTAGTGTGTAATATTACCCGAGGCGCCGCTCCCTAATGTCTGATCAAGACGTGCCACACCTTTTCGAAGTCAGGATAATTTCCCCGACCCTTTTCAATTTTGTTCAACTAGAACTCCACCATCCAGATGTGATGAATCCCAAGGCTGCAAGGAAATACCTTCAAAACGCTAACGATAAAATCTATTTTGCTGACTTCCAGCTCTGCCATTAGGACGTCTCTCCGACTAGCACGGGCCACGCCTCCTCGTAATCCGGATAACCACCCTGATCCTTTTCAACCAGTTCAGTTTTAAGACAATAGAGGAGTAAGGGTATACTTTCCATAACTCCACTCCACCCCGTGGCCGAAGGACAGCGTGGATCCCAACGATCCTTGAAAGCACCTCCTGCGCCGATCGGAGCCCATTTGGCGAGGTATACGTGCCCAAAATATTTAAAATACTGGTTTTTCTCCAAGATGCTATATCTCAACCATAAGGACCCCCATCTGGGAATGGTATGTCTCTTCCTAACCAGGAAGATCCAGTCCATCGATTGACAATTCCCAATCAAGGATGTCGGATTTTCGTGAAATTATAAAAGTGGTAAGTGGTCTTATCTCTTTTCGCCGATTTTATAATGGCAATCGATTGTCAATAGATCAAGCTCAGGTTGGACTTGATAAATAGCATTAATCCATTAAGGACATTAAGGATCATGGACGCAAGGCTACGGCTGCTATAAGAAATGTTGCAATACATACACATACTTATATGTACAATAAGTCAACAAAGTGAACAGGACAGCCTGAAAGTGTGCCAAACTTTGTCATAAATAACCCCCGAGGTTTTTAAAATATATTTGACTTAATTTCGTGCCGTTGTTTGTCCTTTTCAAGGATCAGGGATATTTTCATACATACTTCCTTTTCCCCCCAAAATTTGATCTGAAAAATGCCCCCCATCTTTTGCAATCAGATTGCAATAAGCAAAATGCCCTTTAAAAGTTAATTTTAAATAAACGAAATTCGGTAGCCAATTAATTTGACACTTTTGGCTATAGGTCTGCTATAGGTCTTGTCTTGGAAAGTAGATAAATACAGGGCGAAGACTTTTAAAGCATTTTCTTAGGCACTTTTCAGTGTAGCTTAGTGGAAAGGACAGCCAAAACAGTATCTAAGTGAGTTTTTCCGTTCTATAAATACGAGTACTGGTACTTTTTTCTTTGCAGCACATTCAATGGGTTCTACAATTTGTTTGTCTAATGTGTGCTTGTTATTAGCTAATTTCTCTACAAAAAATGACTATTTTGATTACATTTGGACCATTTACAGCTACAATAGATATTCTATACATACTTGTAGATATTCGTTATCTTGTAAAGGAAACCAAAATAGTATACAAAAAAATACAAGAAGGAAATGTGAGCTTTGAGCGCCGAAGGTTGTCGTACTCGCCATGCAGATCCTTAGGTTTTATACTTAAAAACAATTGCTTTATGTTACAGTTAACCAATTTGAACTCCATTTGGCAGGATTACGTAAGAAATTGATAAGTTTTCCTTATAGTAAACAGACAGACGAGAGGCTTTTGATTATATCTTAAGGTTTCTAGAAAATGTTATACAACAAAACCCTCTGAAAGGGATACAAAACTTAAGTACTCGTTTTCAGAGCTTATTATAGAGAGTATTATAGCTCTATCTAAACGTGACCAATTTTAGATTCCAGTCCGAGCAGAGTCAGTGCGGAAAATGTACATGTTCTAAAGCCTAATAGGCGCTATGTTTGCTATGAAACAGTATTCATGTAGATTATGAACTAGGATGAACTTTAATAGATTAGTAGGTACATTGAGTGTCTCATTAGTTCGTTTATGCATTGCAACTGGGGCTTCCTTTCGATGGAAACACAATCTGTTGTCTGTTCGTTGAAGAAAATGCCAGGACAAAGACGTGTAAAGCAAATCAATCAGCTGGCAGTTTAAGTCTAATATCAGAATTTCTAAATATCAAAATAAAATCGTCAGATGGTAATAATAAATTAAACATAATAAAGACAAAACAGCATCTCTAATTGACCAGAGTAACTTTAAGCTAATTAAGCACAACTTTCTCCTCCTCTGTCTCGGCTGTGACCACGGCGATGGGCACAGGCACAGGCACAGGCACACTCGCTTCCTGATTCTCTTCCATAAACCACAAGGGGCACATGCCCAGCAAGCAGCCCACCGTGATGCCCATAATACGACCCTGGAATAATTCAATTATTATTACTATAAGCGGTTCCCTAG